CTACTCTGGTACAAGGAAGACTGTGCCCTGAGGGGTCTGGAAAAGAAGATTACTCTGACATCCAAAGGCATATTATCTTAGGTGCAAAAACAAAATAGACAGGCTCAGTTAAGGTAAAGATTGACCCTTGTCAAGGAAAATACTGGCCTAGGACCTACCCACTATGACTAGTTTTTAGGTAGTTTTTATTTCAGACCATCCTATGTGGTTTCTCTTAGTCTCTGAGTTTGTAAGATGTCAGGTTTATCATCATTTTCATCCATGAAATATATTCAAGACATCATTGCTCAATAAGAAATATTGTCAATAGTGAACCAAAAATTTGGATGAATCTGTAAAAAATGGGAATCAAAATTAGGTTGTGTTACCATAGCTAGCCAGATATTAAAAAAGGAAATAGAGCAAAGGGAATCAGACACTGAGCCTGTTTGTTTAATCAGGAAGCTACAGCCTCACACTCCCTCCAGGGAACCCAGGGAACTACCCATTTAATTCCCCATAGATCACTGGGGGAAAAATAAGACAAAGGAGGAAGAGGTAAGGACATGCAAAATAGGAGTCAAATGGTGCAGTGGGGAGGCGCGTGACCCTAGAGGCTGTCAGTCTAACCTGGGAAAGGGATCATTGGTGGGAAGTGAACCAATCAGAAGCCTGAAAAAACTTGGAAGTTTATTGGTTATTCTAAAAAAGACTCTTGGTCTTTCACAAGCTGAGAGGATATTACCCCAGGAAAACAATGAGGAGTTGTCCTTCATTCCATGACCCACACTCACCCGCTTTGTTCATGTGCTCTCTCTTGCTTGGAAACACATGGCCATGTAGGTCTACAGCCATGTGGGGCTGCAGCAAACCAGGTGGGCTGCAAAGCTCTAAGCCTTTACCTGAAACAGAAACTCTGGGCATTGGCCTTTGTTTTGGCCTTGCTGAAGACACATTTGGACTTTTTCCATGGTAGGATGGATGGAGGTGGGACACTGGAAACCCAGAGGCAGATTTCTCCCTGAATAAATCTCGCCACACCACAGCCTCCCATGCATGGATCTGTGAAATGCTTTCTTGTGATCCCATGGAATAACGATTTCTACCAGCAACAGTCAGAGAGGCCACAACAGGTCAAATAATGCTGGCAGGGACTGATACAGAGCTGAGGGTGGTTTCAGGGCATCTGGACTGTGAGGTGCTATTTTTGGAGATTCATGAGAGGTTTTGGGACAATTAATAGAAATGAGTTTTGTGTTAGTTCTGTGTCTGGATTGAATACCTGGAAGCAGAAGCATGAGTCAGTCCATAAAGGACAGCAGTTAGGAGGGGAGAGCCCCTCCTTGTTCTAAACTACCTACCAGAAGGTACGCTGTGGGAAAACCCATACACTGCAACTATCTTACACACACCCCTCCATGCCCTGCAGACAACCTCTGCTGATCAGAATAGCCTCCAGCAGCAGCACAGTAGAAATTATCTATTAAAGTGCAAGGATGGACAAATGATTGAGAATCACCATGTGGTTCAGAAAAAAATAGCACCATGGAGAATAAGCACAAATAACAACAAAACAAGTTTAAAAAATAGAGGTACCATAACAAAGAAGAAACTTTAAAGTAAGGACAACTCTATTCATGGAGTGATGAAAAGATAATGCATTTAAGAAAAAAAGCTACTAGAGATTACAAATGTTTAAAATATGATTATCAAAAATAAAATTAGTAAAAACTTTAAATAGCATAATGGAACAAATTCATGACATTAGAGAATAGAGAAAATACAAAAGAAAGGTTAAAAGACATGAAGGATAAAATAAGGTATCAGAAAGGGTAAATATAAGAAATAATCAAGAAATTTAAAAAATTATCCCGAAACCCTAGAGTAGTATGTCTTTAGTTTAGAGTGGCCCATCAAATAACAAGCAGGCTAATAAATGTCATATATCACCAAAATATTATCCTACAATTTCAAAGTACAATAAAAACTTGGCCCTGGCTGGTGTAGCTCAGTGGATTGAGTGCGGGCCTGCGAACCAAAGGATCGCAGTTCGATAACCAGTCAGGGTACATGCCTGGGTTGCAGGCCAGTTCCCAGCAGGGGACACATGAGAGGCAACCATACATTTATATTTCTCCCTCTCTCCTTCCCTTCCCCTCTAAAGATAAATAAATAAAATCTTTCAATAAATAAATAAATGGTAAAATCTCTTTATTAAAAAAAACCTTACAAGTCAACATTAAGGAAAGACTTTACCTTCCTTAGAAATCCATACTTCTTTAGAAATCAAGAAATCATGTAGATAAACAAAAATAGTAAGATTTTGATTAACAAGCAAACAAGCTCCATTTAGTAAAGACACACAGAACTCTCTTTTAGATACCCTTAAAAGAAAATATATTCTAGTGTTAGAAAGAAATTGACAAAATTTCATTTACTTCTTGAAGTTTTCAATCATTGTTAATGATTCAGCGCTGTGCCCCTCAAAACCAGAAACCTCACTTTAAAATACTGAAGAAAATAAAACATAAAATCTTAAAATATACCTAGCATAGTTTTAGAAGACATGGAAGTAAAATAAATTATTCTCAAAACCCAGTATTTGAATGACTTTTCTAGGTAGAACACACATGTACAAATACACACACCCACACGCTATCTTTCCCAACACCTTTCTCACAGAACACACCGTTTTCTTTGCCATGTTTTTTCTTTACCAAAAGAGAGTATTGCCACAAACCAAAATCCTGCATAGCAACAACATATTTATATTAAAACAAGCCACTTAGAGAGAAACCAGGTTCTCTGGCAAAAGCAGAAATGGAATAAAAACAGACGCTACCACTGTTAAGACAGGTACAATTTACAGCCACAGACTCTCCCAGCACAACTGCTGTGCACTCCTTTCCCCTACAGCAGCGTTTGAAGTGGTTAGATCTTATCGAAATCCAGTTGTGCAAGTTTTCACTGATGCCAGTGGGTAGTACAGGACCAAGGCACGGAGGCAACCTGGCAATCAGCAACCGGGGATCCAGCTTTTTATATCAAGTCTCTTGACTGGGCCCCTGTCTCCAGGCCTCCCTGGAGGAAATGGTTTTCTTTATAGAAACCTGGAAATGTATGCTCTCCCAGAATGATCTAGCAGTAGCTTTAATGATTTTAATTCAGCAGGAAGAAGAAGAGATGGATGAGGTTCACAACTAAGACATGAGGAAGGGTGTCTATCCTTCAGCAGTTCATGTTACTTGGTTCCTGTGGTTTCATCAAAAAGAATCACAGAAGGATCACAGGTGTATCATTTCTCTGGAAACCTCTGTTTGCAAGACAATAACAAAACCTATGGAGACTGGTCAGAGAGGTGTGAGTGGTGTGTGTGGGAAAGCTAAACTTTGTGTGTGGTGTGTCTTGTCTTGCAGATGCATAGGTTAGCTGCAGACACGTGAGATCTTAAATTCTCAATAAATCAAAACAAAGATTACTGAAAACGTTTTTAAAATTCTGAACTGCTTCTAATATAGTAAATTGGAGATATATATAAATTAATAATATAATATATATTTAAAATTGTACTATAAGAATGGCAAACAAGGCCAATCTTGTTCACAAAGGTAACTGATTAAAAGCAATACCAAAAGTTGGGGCTACTCACTGGAGTCTCCTGAAGTAAGCAGATAATTTTGGCCACAATACAATGGGTTCAGAGAAGTCATATTATTTTTGCAATTGAAAAACTTGAGAATCCTTACCAATTATAAATATGTCTCAGTTTCTACACCTATAAAATATTATATAGCATACTCTCAGGAACAATCTGAAGGAAGCCATAGTTTAAAAATGAGAAAATGTCAATAAATACTAATAACAAAGTATTATCAATTAAGACCCTTAAGAAAAATTGCTTTGAGACAGCTACAAAGCACTCTCAGGACCATTCGTTTACCAGATAAGGATGAAATTCATTCCCGTAGTTCATATGTGGTGGGGACTGTGTTGGTTTCAATTACAACAGGAAATGTTACTGTTTGTAAGTTAAGGAAAGCATTAAAAAGAATACATATAATCAAATTTAGGAACTAATAAAAAAGGCAGATTGAATAACACGCAGAAGTAGGAGAAAGTACACAGCAAAAGTCCTGGTGTAAGTTACTGAAATTTCACAAAATCCACATTATATTCAAGTATTTCAACAAAAATTAAATCAATGAAAAAAACAAGAAATACAAAAAGACACAAAAAGAATATAACTAGAAATAACTCACAAAATAGTCATATACAAAATGGAAAAAACAAAAGAAGCCTATACTTTGGTGTGTGAAAACTCAGCTAAGTGGAAGTCTAGAAAGTTGGGATAAAGGGAGCGATGTAGCCCTGTCTGTCACCTGTGCACAGTGGGATGCTGCCTGAATAAGTTGAGTCTCAAAGTGGGATTCTAACAGGCCCTGTTTCCATCTTCCCGGAACCGTTTAGTTCCACTTTAAAATTTCAGTGGTGCAGCATAAGCGTAAACATGGGAGACTGTTTTCCAGGAAGAAAAATCAGCACTTGCTCAGCCCTGCACTTGGACTCATTTCTCAGGCCACAATTGGAATAGAACAAATGATGGGTGAGCAGCAGGATCTCTTCTCCTTGTGGCATTTGCTTGCTATCCTCCTTCAATAAGAAATGAATTGTGTGCATGGAAGGTCACCTGTGACCTTATCTTAAGCAGTTACGTAATCGTGTTTATCACATGTAACCCTGCAACTCTGGCCACAGGTGACTGGAACAGAATAAGCACCTGGTTCAGTTTGAGCCAATCAAATTTTCTCCTCCCCAAGATTTGGTGTAGAAGTGATGTCAACTGTGGAGAAGTGGACTGGTCACCCTCCTCTTGCCCTGTGCACAGAGAAGTACCTCAGCCAGATTTTAGGAAGGAAGAGTGAAAAAGGCCCCGAGACTAGAGAAAACTTACAGAGCAGAGAGAAATAGAGAATACTACTTGGGTTCCTGGAATATTTCCATCTTCCTGCAGATAACCTTACCTCCTTCCCACGCAGGTGCTGCTGTGGAGCTGACTCCCCTTTAAACTTCCTGTGCGCAATTCTCCACCTTGAAGTGTGTTTCTGAAGATAACAAAGCACAGCCTTAGTCTTCCAAGTATTACTTCACCCATTATTTACTACAAAACAAGAATAAATCAATGTCAAGAAGCTCTTTAAATTTGATGTCATTGTTGCACAGCCTACGCATTTCAAATTAAGAATACATGTTTCAAATACACAATAATCTTGATATACTAGGACATCATGAATCATTTTATATGGTTCAAAACTCAAAGAAAGTGTACACTGAATTTAAGTTTTAAAAATTAATGAGAAACTTTACATCTGACCTTAATTCCCTTTATTAGCTTATCCATATAGTACCATAAAACACAACACCTGGTAAATCTCTACAAAAACTGATTCTCCATCTTTGAAAACATTCTGTCAGAGAATATGGACTTCCTGGCTTTATCAGAAGGACAGAACATGAATTAAGCAGCCTTGAGGTTTTCAGAATATAGAAAATCTCATAATGTCTTTGTTCTTTTCTCTTGACAATCATATCTTTCCTGGTATCTGAGAGACTGAAGAATTAACATATTTTAAATTCAAACCTGGAAAACATCCATTTATGTCTCAGTGATAGAAATATATTGTGGTAAAAAATTCTTCATTATCAAATGCATTGTGTACAACCAAAAAAACAGGCTACCAAGTGTATCATATATCATGCTCTTAACCAAAGTATTTTATTACTTAGCAAGTATACTTTAATAAGACTTTAAATGAACTATGTTTATCAAAAGTACTATTTTTTGTAACTTCTTTTTTCTTGAGGGCTTGAAGAATTTTAACCAAAATTAAAATATTTACAAAACTTTCATTTATTTACTTTTGCGTTTTTTAATTGTTGTTCAAGTACAGTTGTCTCCACTTTCCAGCCACACTTTCCCCCTCCCCACCCAGCCCCACTTCCCACCCTCAATCCATCTCCCCTTTGGCTTTGTCCATGGGTCTTTATACATGTTCCTTGATGACCTTTCTCCTTTTTCCCCCATTATCACCCTTCCCCCACTTCTCTGGTTCCGGTCAATTTTTTCTTTATTTCGATGTCTGGTTACATTTTGCTTGCTTGTTTGTTTTGTTGATTAGGTTCCACTTATCAGTGAGATCATATGGTATTTGTCCTTCACCACCTGCTTCATTTCACTTAGCACAATGCTCTCCAGTTTCATCCCTGATGTCCCAAAGGATAGGAGCTCCTTCTCCCTTTCTGCTGTGTAATATTCCATTGTGTAAATGTCCCACAGTTTTTTGATCCACTCATTTACTGATGGGTACTCAGGTTGCTTCCAATACTTAGCTATTGTAAATTGTGCTGCTATGAACACTGGGGTGTATAGGTTCTTCTGAATTTGGTGTTTAAGGATTCTTAAGCTATAATGCCAGCAGTAGAATTACCAGGTCAAAAGGCAGTTCCATTTTTAGTCTTTTGAGGAAGTTCCATATTGTTTTCTACAGTGGCTGCAGCAGTCTGAATTTTCACCAACAAAGGACTAGGGTTCCCTTTTCTCCACGAAACTTTTAAAACAGCCTTTTTTTCTCCTTTAGGTACAAACACCATTTTAATATGCACTTCTTTGATGCCACTGATTTCTTTCGTAAATGACATCATAATAGAATTTAAGAATACCATTTAACATTATTTTCCCTCTGGCAACTCATGGTATATAAGACTCTAATTGATATTTAATCATTTTGAATGTGAACATAATTCTACAGGAACGAAAGTATTGTCTACTCTGAATGAATCTGCCCCTTATTACTAGAGATCAATGGCAAACACATTTGTTTTCTATAACAAGTGTGCAAATCAATAGAATGGCCTACGTCATGATAATAAGAAAAATTTAATGGAGGTCATTACTTCAATTTCCTATATCCGAAGTTGGTTGAAGCTAGGTATTATAAGAAAGAAAGTTGTAGATTGTGTTGGCTTCTTGAAAAGCCATTTTATTTGGAAAGCATATTAACCAATTTAGCCCAATAATTGAAATGTTGATGCACTTTGAGCCTCCTGGCTAACACGGAGCAATTATTGGTAGTGAAAGCTTATCACAGCTTTGCAGTTTCCTGCCTTCAAGTCTGGATCTATATTGGCTTCTGAATGAGGTGTCTTTTTAATAGCTATGGGCCCATTTAAACATTATTAGATCAATCCTAATCATTGCCTGCTAAGCTGCCCTCTTCTCTCTCCTTTCCAACCTTTACAGTTCTTTTGACTGTTGCTCTGGATCTTTCCTGTGTTAGAAAAAACACTGCTCTTGGGGAGACCTGGATTGTTCTAGCCCCATTCTCATAGTGATGTCCCTTCGCTATTTGAATTGCTTATCCTAGGGATGAATTTCTGCAATAATCTTATTTTATCCTGGATTATAATACTACTCTGACCTATACTTGATGATAGATCAGCAGTTAATTAGCATGATCACTACTGAAAATATAGAGCCTATACTTGTCACTACACTGACTAAACATTAGTCATTGCAGCAGGAATTCAACCCTTTGTATGATGGGACTTTCAACAAATGAAGGATTGGTATACTGTACATACAATTACCTAGTTTGTGCTATGGTGAGTAGGATGTCTCAAGGGCTACAAAATCTGAACCTTTTCCATAACGATCCAATGAACTCTGGAGACTTCAATTCAGAGGCTATCACCATAGGGATTACCCCAGTCACTGTAATGGGACATTGAAAGTCTGACACTATTTTCTCAGTTGAAGTCACCTCATAGTCCAGATTTTGAGTTGATCATTTTCATATTTGGTAACACATATTCATTTAGATGATATCTGGAGTTCTATAACAATATAATAACTGGGTCTCAATATAAAATAACATGTCATTTTTTATTTTCATAGGATTATAAAGTAGCAGATATTCATCTTGCTTTGCCTCTCCAAGACAACCCCCTAAACACATACACACATCTGCACACACATCCATACCCTCAAACACATACATGATGCACATGCACACAAACACATACAGTATATAAAAGCCAAGTAAAAAGAGAATTTTATTTCTGCATATAAATAGCTTTAATATATGTTAATTATTAAAAATTTAACTCCTCCACTACTATCATTTTAAAATAAATCCCTTGAAGTTTAGACCCTTGGTTCCTTTCTTAGAGTCAAAACTTTTAAAATTCAACTTAATAAGGAAATTTTCTTCTTATTAGAAGAAATAAAGTTCTTCTCTTTACGTCTTTTGGTAAAGAGAAGAATAGAATTTGCTCAGTTTTCAGATGTCTCACTGAATGCGCTCATAGCCCTCTTGTTAATGTTCCAACACTGGCTGGGTTATGTGGTTTGGACCCTCTTGTGTGAAATAAGAAGGAAAGTTCTCCCCACTGACAAAGTGACCTTCTCTTTCCTGTCCATCAAGAAAACAGTATGTTCAGCCTGCTGTCCCCTCTGCTTCCCTATAATATCACACCTCACTGTCTATCTCCGCTTTTTTTACAGTAACAAATGTTCGATTTCCTTGGTGCCACCTTTGCCCATTACCTTTCTTTCCTGCCTGCTTTCGACCTCGGAGGGCCAGGTCAGCCTAGTGAGAGGAAGGAAGGTTGGGCGCTGGACAGGGAAACAGAGAAGTTGACTAAGTGGCCACTCTTAGGGCTTGCAGCCACAGGTAACCCAAACTGGAAAAATAGAACGAAGTTTGGAATTTGAAATTTTTGCTGGACTGAACATGCTAATTACCTAAATGAAGTTAATCTAATGCACAGTAATGACTGGAGGATATTCTATTATCAGAAAGCGGTAAGGAGAGTAGTGCCCCAAGCAGATTAAAAGAGGCAGATGGAGGAAAATACGGTTGCCTTACAGTGGCATCCTGTGAAGTCCACATCTTCCCACAGGGATGCTGATTTAGATGCAGCAAAGAAATCAAAGTTCTCCTCAGCTTGAACGTCAACATGCAGACTGCCAGTTTCAAATGGGCTTGGGAACCCCTGGTAAACTGGGAGAACAGGGTTTGCGAAGGACAGGTTTCCCTGACATCTCTTTGCTAGGACACTCTAAGAAAGATAAAATATCTTAAAGGAAGGGGAAAAATAGGCTTGATTCAACAACAAAGCTCTATGCTTCAGGGTGAAGAGGCCATTCTAATAGGGTATTTGTCAAAGAGATTTTCCTGCTGGCTTCTCTGGCCTCAGGTAGTATGTAAGTAGAGAATGAGGGGGAAGGCTGGGTAAAAAATGAAAGATTTGTCTCCAGTGATTCCTGTCCTTTCTGTCCTTGCCGTGGCTCACTATTAATGTATACATTTTATGGACATGTGACTTTCTTGGGCTTATAGGATGTAGACAGAAGTTATGTTGTTTTCTGAGGTCTTAAGAGGTGTCATTTGTTTCCACTCAGTTTTTTTAAGCTTCTGCCATTCCCATGAGAAGAACATTCCCCAAGGAACTGCTGGACCCAAAGGAGAAAATACCCGGCGTGATCTGGACGCAGCCACAGCCCACAAGCTCAGTGGATTCTCTGAGCCAGCAGAACCATTGCCAATCCATGAACCCACAAGAAAAAACAAAATCTGATCTTTGAAAGCCACACACACTTTGATGGTGTTTTTTGGACAGCACTGTCAAGTAAAAAACAAAAATTGTTAAAGTTTCTGTAAAACCACAGGCATACTAGGGAATATAAAACACTGGAATTAGAAGGAGGTATTCACCTCCTATTTTCTTATTGAACACTCTGAGCTGTGGGATCTTGAGTGATCCAGGTCAGTAGCAAAGGCAGGAAGTTCTGGGAGATAACACAGTGTCTGGGAAACGTTAAGTCCTCCATCACAGCAATTTCCAGCTCGTGGTGCCTGGAAACAGGGAGAAGTGGTCATGCTCTCAGGAGTGCTAAGTGACAGTAGCAGTGGGAATCCAGGTATGCAAATATTCATTAGATCCATAGGAAGTAGATAGAGAGAAGACAACTCAACTCCACAGATGACACATTCTTGTGCATAACCAGATACGATACATATCCAATAATCTCCCCATGATCCAGACAGAGCCAGAAGCAAAGAAATACAAGTTACAAGTTGTGATTACAATGGATGTTTA